ACCCCATGCCCCATGATCCACGAATGCGTAGGTTTAGATCTTGGGGGGGGGGGGCGAGCATATATATATATATATATGTATAGAGATATATATATATATATAGACCTATATATATAGATAGATAGATAGATAGATAGATAGATAGATAGATAGATATCTAGATCATTCAGTGTGAGAGTTGCCCGGAAGTCTCGGAGTGCCTCCAGGGGGAAGGTCTTGGAGATGCTGCAGGATATGAAGACGCAAGGCGAGAAGGACGCTTCCTCAGAGGGGAGCAGCACGTCCGCAATCCGGCAGCGCAGCGTGGGACGGATGCTGCGGTTCTCAGGACAAGCAGGACGAGGAAGTTCAATATGCCGCATACAAGCACCTTGGCAGAGTCGCGGTCCTTTGACTCTCCCTTCTTTCCTGTTTTTGGACTTGCTCATACACTGTGCGCAATGAACAACGACTGAAGGCAGTTCTGCGCAGTCACGGAGAGAGAAACGCAGCGCTCGATCGAAGATGGGACCGAGAAGATAGAGGCGCTGGTTGTGGTTTCTCATGCGACGTGCAAGAAAGCATGCGATTGGGTGTAGGTCCTCACTGCAGAAATGGAGAAGAGTGGATCCGATGCCACCAGGCCACAAAGATGCCGCTGCTTTCCTCAGAGCCATCAAAAGCCTCACATTCCGTCTGTAGGCTTGGTGAAGAAGTCGCAGCTCATGTTGCAGACATAGAGGGCGCCAAAGCAGAAAAGGAGGACACCCATAACCTGAAACCCTAACACCCCAAAGCCCGAATGTACTTAAGCCCCTGAAACCCGAAAGCCACAAAGCCCTACAACCCTGAAGCATTGAAGCCCGAGGACCCCAAGTCCCAAGAGTAATCTGGCAGCACCTGAACTCCAGGAGGCGTCGAAGATGCGGGAGACGGAGCGGAAAGACTTCCAAGCGATGTTCAAGGTGAGGTTCGCCTAAAAAGTCCCCTTTTATCCGGAGCCTTGACCTAAACCCTAAACCCTAAACCCTAAACCCTAAACCCTAAACCCTAAACCCTAAACCCTAAACCCTAAACCCTAAACCCTAAACCCTAAACCCTGGACCCTGGACCCGAAAACTCCTCTCTGTGCAGGACCTGTCGGAGTCGATCGACGCCATCGGCAGAGCAACGAAAGAGCTCCAGTCCGGGAAAGCTCAGGACGGCCAGAAAGACGGAGTATTAAACATATTATAGGGGAAAAAAAATTTTTTCCCCCATAATATGTTTAGAAGTGAGCCTCACCCCTTTTCTTGCTTTTGAAAGAGGGCCCAAACCCCCTAAACCCTAAACCCCAAACCGTTGCTTGGAAAGGAGGGCTCCCTCATTCAGCTAAATGCCTTGAAGCTGCCGGAGAAGGCCAGCAAAGGCCTGAATTCCCTGCTCTCCGAGGGCTTCGAGGACCGCTTCTGCCCTTATGTTTGCGGCCTATCTCCGCCCTCACAGAAAATTACATGTGTAGCACATCATATTTAAGGTTTAATTCATAATATATGACGCTTAATGCACGATTTCTGACATATGATACAGACTATACAGCATATAGTATACGCATAAGATGTAATCACTATGTCGTGTAAGATACATAGCCGACGCAAGAAACATGTACAGTACCTACTATGTATCGCTTATCATGTATCATGTAACACAAAATCTGTATACATACATATATATATATAGTGAAAAAGTACATATATATATAATATACATTGATAGTATAGCGTTTAAAAAATACCACCTGTAATATGCAGTTTTTGGCATATGATTTGTACTATTTCAACCATAATGTGTGTGCACATATGTGTATATGTATATATATATATATATATACACGTGTATAGTATATAGTGTGTAGTATATAGTTTGCAGTCTATATTTTTACAGTACATGCTTACAGTTTATTGTTTTTAGTGTAAAGTATATAGTATATAGTAGCCAGTGTATAGTATATACTATTTCGTATATAGCCTATAGTATACATGTACACATAATATACATGTATATATATATATATATACATGTGTGTATATATATATATATACATATGTATATATATATATATATACATATACATATATACACGGAGGCATATACACATGTACATATATATATGAGGCAGGAACCTTTATGTATAATGTGACCTGTCCTCTTGTTTTTAATATGTTGCACGAACCGAAGTTGATGTGTGGTGTAAGCGACCGCTTAAGGCGTAGGGTTCAGGCTATTAGGGTTCAGGCTTTTCTGGGTTGTGGTTCAAGGTTTCGGACCAACTAAAACAGCACCCGTCTAAGACATTCGCAACTGTAAATACCGGCAAACCCGATAGACACATCAGGCAACCCGTATAAACCCTATAAAGAAGCCTGTAACAACCAAAACTGTATTGTATTTGCAACAGTGTCAGTAGTTCCAAAAGTTTTCCCTGCGAGCGTTTCCCATGAGTTGTTCGGCGCACGCAATTTTGGCAGGAAAATGCTTCCCGCAGATTTCCCGCGGAGCCCGATTTCCCATCAACTTCCTGCGGTAGCTTGGGATGTTAATCGACTATTCCTTTTCCTTCTTCCCGTGGTTTCCCGCAGATCTTCCGCAGGAAATAGCCCGTGGATTCCCAAAATGCCGCCTTTCTTTTCCTACGAGTTCCCGTCGAATCGGCGTCCCACGGGTAATATGTGACAGAATGCATGAACATTGCTTTTAACACTTATGCCCGTACAATCTAACGGTGTCTCAAATTGATGTGTGGAAAACTGTTCAGTCTGCACTGTTGATTGTCTTGTACTGTCGGCCTCACAATACACCGAAACATCACTTCTACGATTGCTCGGTGCTTTTTTGCATGACGAAGCGAAACGCCAAGACAAACATGATACACCATTCCAGGGTCCTGCTTCCAAGTTCGAGAGCAAACGTTTTGGACATGCTGTCTTCACGCTTAAAGCGCATGCTGCTGCAGTTCTGATTCCAATTTTATAGACGTCGGAACTAAATTCCATGGTTTACGACAAAGTTTACGACGCCCCCACTGCAGGCTAGGGAAGATGACGAAATGAGCTGTTGTTGAATTGTGATACTAAGCTTTCGTAGTGGTTCTTCGTGCTCCTATCTACGCGGATCTTGCCCTGATAAACACCCACGCGACTTTACAGATCTGGAAGAACCCTGTGACAGTAGACTCGACAGCATATTGCCACAAAACACAAGCCCCACCCACCAGTAGCAGGATTTGTCGCGCCACTTTTACACAGTTACAGCCCCCCTAGACCCTAATAAAACCTTAACCCCTCAACCCTGAAGCCTAATACATGTCTGATGCGAGAAACCTGTAACATCACTGTGTTATGGGCCCGCCAAAAAGGGTCCCCCCTAAATTTTAAATTGTCCTGCATTTGCCATTCCGACTCTTGCGTAGTTGTTTTCATTTGCCCTTCATATGCCTTCATTGCTTTTTCTTTTGCACGCGATTTGCCCCTCAGTTCCCCTTCATTTGCCCTTCATTTGTCCCTCATGTGCCTTTGATTTGCCCCTCATTTGACCTTCATTTGCCCCTCATTTGCCCCTCCTTTGCCTCTCACTTGTTTTTACTTCTTTTGCCCTTCATTTGCCTGTCATTTGTTCATCGTTTTTGTAAAGGCTCTTTCTGGGGGGGCTCGTATGACAGCTATGGCCCGGTCAACACGACTTGAATACGGGCGGGCATACAGGTTGAAGGACGTCCTCAGTACGACATCGGCTGCACTAGCATTCAAACCAGATTTTTTACAAACTAAGTCGTGTTCCAAAAGCATTGATTCTTCTCATACACACCTACGCGAAACTATGCTCCAAAGCTCAGCGCGGGCTTTCTGTTTTCTTTCGGTTTCGTCGGTTTCCCTGCCCGAGGCAACGGCCTCAGCGAGCCGATTGTGCGGCCGTTGGATCATGTCAAGGGTTTAGGGCCTAGGGTTTTCGATGGCTGGCTTCTCAACTGCGAGGTCAGAGTTCTGGGTTCAAAAGGGTTTCGAAGGTTTTCGGCGGTTGGGGGTGTGCGACGCAACCTCAGCCACTAGATGTTACACGGGATTCGGATGCTGAAAGCTTGAAAGCAGTTTATATAATATTCGGATAAGGTGCATAACTTCCAACACGCGGAGGCAAAGAGACAATAAACATGACTTTAAATGTCTTCGAGAACCTACGTACATCCACCCGGTTTTGTTGATAGCTTCAAAGTGGAAGTCTTGTGTCAGCTTGGGCGGTAATTATAGATAGTGTATGTTCGGGTCATAGATTTGTTGTAAGTTGCAAGGTAGGTTAATTCTAAACGTGCGACCCGCACGCTTCT